TTGGGTTTCGATGTATTTCCAATGACTAAATCAACAAAAACCAAGCAAGTTTGATCTCATTTTAACAATCAATTTAGGACGCATATTTATATCTTGAATAATGTATACCACTTTGCATATAAATTGTGTGGTTAGGTTATTTCGCCTCGTTTCATTGGCTCAAGGAAATTTCACGTCTTTTCATTGGCTCATGTACATTTTGTCTTAAATTGATTGAAGCTCTTAAATTGATTGTTTACGTTACAAAGAATCGATCGATAGATTTGGCAAAGAATTAAAAGTCAACCAATTTTAGGTAAAAGGACTTTATATCAGATATATATACTGTACGTATAGGTCATGGTTGCCCTGGTCGCAAAGGTGACGACGTGAGGATGACGATGGATGGTACTGGTGGAGACACTGGACTGGGATGTGTCGTGTTGGTGGTGGTTACTGTATGTCCTCCCTTACGCCAAAGTCGAAGCCTTCGTGCGGAAGGTGGTGCGGTAGATGTCGCCGAATTCGGCAACGACGGCCGATTCCCGATCGGTGGGCATGCCCATGGCGTTTGTGTCTTGTGATGTGTTATCGTGGATGTACAGGTCCGGGTGGTCTTGAAATGTCTCGACCATGTATTCGAAGAGGTCTCGAACGTCCGTTTGCACGAAGATGGGCGTGGACGGAGGGAGGACGCGCGCGAGGTCGGCAACAAACGCATCATTGACGACTCGGCGCTTCACATGCCGCTTCTTCATCCATGGATCAGGGTGGAAGATGGACACGCTTCCGATAGTGTATTCAGGGGTGAGTGATGCCACGATCGCGTCCAGATGCACGTTCATGTTGCCGTGGAGGACATGGGCATTGGGAAGGCCAAGGACTTTCATACGTTCCAGAGCTTCGACTACCAATGGCTCACGGATCTCGACGCCGAGAAAGCACGTGTCCGGATGGATCGCCGCCAGCTTCATGAGGTATTGTGCCCGAGCACACCCAATGTCCAAATGGACCTTCGCAGGAGGCGGTGGAAAGATGGCCGTCCAATCTGGTAATGTGATGGGCTCTTGGTAGCGTTGCGCGAGTGGGTTCACATGCTGTCGCACGCGAACAGACGGCTTAGTTGAGAAGGATGCAGCGGCGTTGAGAGGACCGACGAGGCAGCGGCGGCGGCGGCGGAACAGCAGCCGCAGCATGATGACCTTGAAAAAGTGCGCGAACCAATAAAGCAGGCAACGAATCCGGATAAACCTGGTGTTTACCGAAAAAATGATATAACAATGCTTCAACTAGTATAACAATGCTTCAACTTGAGAGAACTTGGGAGAACAGAAATGTTCATCGCATTCAATGATGTGGGGACCCAGAGCTTTGTCCTGATGCATCGTTTGGCAGATAGTTCGCTTCGTTCTCGAGGAAAGTGCCATTGGATACGGAGGTTGTACGAGACATGGGAGTCGCAGTGTATTTAAAGATATAGATTAAAGGATCGAGCATTCGGGGCCGTACACGCTGGCGTTGTTGAATTCGCTGCATTGTCGGCATCGCCACGAGGTGGCACCATTAGGAAGGGGATACGGAGCGCTGCACTTGTTGCAAAGCGCATTTCCTTGAGCATCTCGGCGGATATTCGCGTTGTTCGCGACAACGCGAGCGGGAGGCAGTTGGGCCTGCACAACTGGAATCGTGTTGATCGGACGTCCGAACTGGTCAACAGAAACTGGGACCGCGGCAATCGGTCGACCAAACTGATCAACGATGGGGCGGCCATATTGATCAACAGCAAGCGGTTGACCCATCACCGGCTGGCCTTGGGAAGGCGGCACAGCGCTAGAGTAGGGCGGCGGCTTCTGAGGGTCGGACATCGGGCCGTTTTGGAAAATGTGCAAAGAAACTCGACGTTGAATTAATTTGCCGAATTCTCGACGCTGTGACATTAAGGTTTCGTATTCAAGATTCAAATTTTAAAATATTATTACGACCAACATTCCGAACACGTATCCGGATATGTGATCTCGTTTGATTGGATGAAATGTGACTTAATGGATTGCAATTAACCAATCCAAATGAAGAGCGTTTCCACACTCGTCACTTTTGCTGGACAGGGCACCAGAGTTGACTAACCCAGCAGCATGATGTTGACGCGCCGAGTCTTCAGCGTTCGCCACAGCGCGTCCGCGGCCGTGGCTTCTCGATGGAACTCTTCCTATGAGAAACAGAATGAAGCGGCATTGGCTCTGATGCGTGAAACGTCGCGGCTGGAGCGGGAAGTGCTTCTGCCGCTGAACGACAAGCTGTATGGTCCACTGAATCGTGCCGTAGAAGACCGGTTGCCATCGCTGCCGTTTGTGTTCTTGCTCGGCAACCACTCGAGCGGCAAGTCTTCGTTCATCAATCACGTGTTGCAACGTGAAGTCCAAACGACGGGGGTCGCGCCGACAGACGACGGGTTCACGATCATCTCCAACGGCTCGTCCGACCACGATCAAGACGGACCTGTACGTTGCATGCTCATCCATCCAGTCGATGTCCTTTGCGCCCCCAAGCCGACTAACCATTGCGTAGGCTCTCATTGGCGACCCCGACTTGGGTTTCTCTGGGCTGCGTCAATTCGGCCCCAACTTGATTCAAAAGACAAACTTGAAAATTCGCGCCAACATCCCCATCAGCAACCACTTTATGATGGTGGATTCGCCAGGTATGATCGACAGCCCCGCGTCGTTCCATGCGACCACGGACCAAGACCGCGGCTACGACTTCCCCAAGGTCTCCCCCTTCCTCCTTCCATCCTTTCATCCATTCGATGATTAGGTGGTGCAATGGTATGCCGAGCGCGCCGACGTGATCCTGCTCTTCTTCGACCCGGACAAACCGGGCACGACGGGGGAAACGCTGTCTATTCTAACGAATTCCCTCGTCGGGATGGACCACAAACTGCACATTGTGCTCAACAAAGTGGACCAGTTTCGTAAAATCCACGACTTTGCTCGGGCGTACGGGTCGCTCTGCTGGAATCTGTCCAAGGTACTACCACCTAGTACTACTACTAGTACTAGTACTACTACTAGTACTATTTGGCCTACAGGTGATTCCACTCAAAGACTTGCCCCGCATCTACACCATGTGCATCCCCGTCAAGGAGCGCGGCGACGGGTCCAAAACGACTGAAACCGGGCTCGGCAGCGCCTTGGAGGACCTCGAGAGCAGTCGGAACGAAGTGATCAACGCCGTCATGCGCGCGCCCGAGCGCCGCGCCGACAACCTCATCACCCGCGTGTACGACAGCAGCCGCATGTTGGAAATGCACGCCACGGTACAAACTACCATCCCCCTCTCGACGTCTGAACGGTGTCGCAGGTGTTTGAATCCGTGCGAGCCAAGTACAGCCGAGAAAAGTGGAGCCGCTTCTTCGTCACGACCAGTGCGCTCGTGGGCGGCAACGCGCTCGCCGGCGTCGCGTTCGTGAGCGGGCTGCCCGAAGTGGCGGCGGCGGCATCCGTCGCGGCTCTGGCCACCGCGTCCGGGCTGTCGTGGGTCAACCGCAACCACTTGGCAGAGCTGGAAAAGGTATATACTTGTACTCTGTAACTATATCGAAGAACGTGTTTTGCGACTTGAGTTTTAGGACTTGACGAGCGAGGACGGGCTTACGCAGCACTTTCGGCGGTTGTATGGGCGGCAACTGGCCGAGCGCGACGAGTTTGTGTATTCGATCTGGCGCCGCGTGCTACCCAGTTTGCAGGTACTAGTTCGTTCATGTGTGTATATTGATTGACGTTGTGATATTGATTCGTAGGTGGCTTTGCACACACTTGGGTTTTCCAAACTGCCCAAAGTCAAGGCGTCGGAACTGAAAGCTCTGCAAACGATTGTAACCGACGACATCCCCCGCCTTCGCCGACAAGCGGCGCCCACCGAAGCCAGCGTCGCCCACCAAGTGGCCAAGCTCCTCCGTCGGGGGTTCTAAACCTGACACAACCCATAGAGCAATTACTACTGTACTACTCCTTGACCGTTTTGATTGGTTATTAATCGTCAAATGCGACCTCCACAAACCCATAAACGCATAGAGCTACTACTCCTTGACCGTTTTGATTGGTTATTAATCGTCAAATACGACCTTTTTGCCCGAAAACGCGTGGATGTCGACCTTTTCCTTGTCTTTCTGCGCTTGTTTGGCAGCCCACGACGGATGGTGCGTCTTATCCTCGACCGTTTCCCGGCGACTGGATGGCGCAAGTCGCGGGGGGGGCGCCGATGGACCGGTGTCGGAGGCGTGAGGACGTCGGCTGCGGTCTGGTCCTTGGGTCGTGGTGGGTCGAGGGGGGCGGGCCTTGGTGCCCGGGCGAGGCGGACGCGTCGAGTCGGCCGTGCCACGGCTGCTGGGGCCGTACTTGGACGCTCCCCGAGCGGGGACAGTAGACGACGGCGGCGGCGCTTTGCCGGACTTGCGCTGCTCCTCCATGAGCGCCTTCTGCTTGCGCGCACGTTGGCCGGGTCGGTTCTTCTTGTGGTTCTCGCCCAAGAAGTCTGCAATGTCGTCTTTCTACACAAGACGATCCACGAACGATGAGATGGGAAAGATTGAGATGGGACAGAAGGAGTAGTGAGGGAAGAACGAAGGAGGTGACAGGTGTACTACTCGTACCTCAAAGCCAGAGGCGTCGCCAAGCCCAGACAACGAGCCCACAAACATGGACTCGGACGTGGACGCGCTGCGCCGGCCAGATGGGATGGATTGTTGTTTCTATGCCCAAACACAGTCAATGGACTTTGTTGAGTTGAAGGTACCGAGTTTTCGCGCGCTTGCTTGAGTATGACGTTTTCTTCGCGGAAGAGTTTGTTTGCTCGTTCTGCAGCCTTGGCTTTCCAAGTATCGAGGAGAGGGAGCAGTCGCTTGTGCTTGAGAAGCGACGCTTCAAGGGCCTTCAGCTCGAAGTTGTCGCCGGCCGCAGCATTGCTGCTGGCCTTGGCCTTCTTTGTCTCTGGCGGGTCCAAGCCCAAGGATAGCATAGCCCGTCGAGCCAGATGAGCCACATCCAGACTCTACTCATGTGGGGTATGTATGAAACATGTTGTTCGACGGTGGGTGACATGTAGTATACTACCTTGAGATGCTCCACCGACGCCGTCAACGCAGAGTTTTGCGGGTCTTTGGCCAGTGTCTTGACGACCTTTTGGATCTCAAATGCCTTGATCTTCTTGATCTCTCGCGCGAACTGAACGCTGGCAGTATGATTCAGCTTCTCGTCGTCATTGTGCTGCCGCTTTCGCTTGAGCGCACTGTTTCCAGCCATTATTTCTGCTGCTCTTGCGTTGGTTGCGGCGTCAACGTACAATATCCGGATACTGCACATGTTTATCCGGATTGTAACTGGTTCCAGTGCAACTAGGACGGTTTCATGTTGAAGGGTCGGTTCCACAGAGATTTGACGCCCCGCAGACTCGCGCAGCCAAGCGCAATCATGTATGCACATGGTGCATAACTAGTTATGATTACCATCTTCACGATGTGGCAACGTCGAGTGAAAAGTCGTACTGTTGAGGTTGTGCCAATTGCCCACCCTTGCTGCCTTAGTCCTCCTCGCAGTTAGAGTTGACGTAACGTCAGTAGAACCACTTGAGACAGTATTGTGTTGGCCCAGTCTGTTGATAGTGCTGTTCTTAGTTGTTCCTGCACAATTACGGCCATAAGTGTGTCTTGACGTGCCAGTGAATTACTGTACCCGTGACGCGAGAAACTGAAGCCATTGTATACAGTACATCAGTACACTGTACATCAGCAATCTCGGACATTCTTCAAACTGACATGTGAGCTTTGTTTCCTACGAATCCTTCGACAATATCACCCTTATCATGAACTGAAATAACATTCGCACTGTACGTGACTGCACCTTTGTTCGATTCACCCGGTTCGCTATACCCTGCCATACACTGTAGCTTTGTGGCTGTAGGTCCAACGTTGATCAAGTTTCTACAATCAGTACTCCAGAGTACTACTTCGAAGTAGTATATATTATACTATTAATAGTCCTACTACGCATCGCCTTAGGACTATGTACTACTTACTGTAACGTTACGAACGTACTACGTAGTATACCCCCCCGCCCATGAAATCTGATCAAAACTGGTTCAGCACTCCAAGCGGGACCTTAAAAACTATTCAGGCATGCGCATTGGGTTAAATCCATCACAGAACTTAAATTTCATTGGATGAAATGCTGTAACGCAATGGTGATTGGGTATTTCTGTCGAATATTAGAGATATCTAGTCAAACCATAAAAAATGTTCGTCATTCTCTCTTATTGGCCGATATGCTCGAAACCGGTAAAGGTCCAACCGGAGAAATCCTACGTCCTGATGCGGGGGATATACGGACGTACTGTTCGGTCGAAACACCAATGTGCATTTGCATGCTCCAGATCAATGAATCTCGCTCTCGAGTCAAGTTTCGAATGGCGCGACTAACTTTACTGGTACTACGTACGTGTATATCATTCGTTCTGAATGGGGTCGTTAGTTTTTTTGACCCCGGGGTTACCTTAAACCAGTTGCTTTGGTTCAATATGGAAAATCTGTATCGTGAATTAGATGGATTTGGACGCATACCTCGCTTAGATAAGGGACAGCCGTGTGACACACACTAAACTAGAACTTGCGTCGCACCGACCACTTGCAAATTCGACGACTAGACCATCATCACCATGCTCGCCTTCGCCACCACCGTCGCTGTGATGGCCGCCTTGGCGTATGCCGACGTGGACTGCACGACATATGCCGTCACGACGCAAAGCTCGTACTCGACCGTGTGCACTGGTACGACTGCGCTCGTGGTTCCATCGTAAAACACTACTGTAGACACTGCCCAAAACAACAACAAGGTGCATGTGTGGCCGGTGGGTCAGCCTGCCACGTACTGCCACGGGTGGGAAGCCTCCGACCAAGGCGGCAACAAGGAAAAGATGAGCGCCAACTCGATCAAGTGCTCACCGGATGCGTCCATCTTGTACTACACCCTCGTACGTTGTCATCGTACAGCGACCTCGACGACAGACACCTCATTTTATGCGTATAGTATTACGGCGTGATCGACTGCGGCGCCATCACCAAGCCCAACAAGGTGGAGGAACGCAACTACACGTCGACGTGCGAGAAGGGTGATGACAACACGTACGGCCTCGCGCTCGACCTGAGCTGCTGCGACACCCGGGGCGCGGGCTTCTACAAGTGCCAGAAGGCGGCTCCGTCGGTCCAGTTCTCGTCCAACTTGGGCAACCCCAACTACTACGCGAACGGGTTGCTGTGCCTCAACGCCAACACGTCGAAAGCGTCCACCACCATGGTTGCCGCCCCCACCACTGCCAAGACCGCCGCGACCACCGCCGCCCCGGTGGTCCCGACTGCCAAGCCTGCTACCACCACCGTCACCGCCACGGGGTCTGCGTCCGTCGCGGCAATTAGCGCCATGTCGCTCGTGATTGCCGCCCTCGCCTTGTAATTCCGTGAATATATTTGTGTTGTCACGAGAGTGGCATACTGTCCAATGTAGTAACGAACTAGTTAGACGAAAACTGTAACCTCCATAGTCTCATGTTCCTACCCCAGTCTATACAAGTCAGTATCTCACATGATCACAAAATGTTCGAATTAACTGTTAGGCAAAGAATGTCAGCAAGTCTGCCAGACTCAACCGCCAGTCGTTGTCTGCGCCGGCTTTGGACGTAGCCAACACTGTGGACGCGAGCGTGGCCTTTCGCTGCTGCAGCGTCAGGATCATGTCCTCCACCGTCCCCTCCACGATGTACTTCTTGACGAGCACGTCGCGCGTCTGGCCGAGGCGGTGTACGCGGTCGATCGCTTGGTCCTCGATGCCCGGGTTCCACCACGGATCCATCATGATCACGACCGACGCCGCCGTCAAATTCAACCCGACGCCGCCCGCTTTCAGGGAAATCACGAGCACTTGCACGTCCGGCTGTGTGTTGAACCGATGCAGTACCTTTTCCCGGTCATCTTGCTTGAGCGACCCGTCAAACCGGCAATGTGTATACCCTGCAAGTCATAGGATCAATCTCGTATCGAGGGGATGGACGACGGACTAGTATTACTACTAGTAACGGTATCTTATCCTACTGTACCGTGTTGGTGCAATGTGGATTGGATCAAGTCGAGCATGTGCGTCCACTGGGAAAACACCACGACCTTTCGCCCCGCTTCAATCGAATTCAAATCCACCACGAGTTGCGTCAACTTGGCACTTCCAGCCCACAAAGGTGCGGTGCCGTTGTCGTCGTCGTCGGGGGGATTGTCGCCTGTCGTTGGTTTGTCCGGGGGGTCGACTCGGATCAGTTGGTCGGGGCTGATGTGGGCCCTACACACTGGGCAGCAACCGCCGTTGCTTAAGAACGCCACCACACAGGCGTGGCACATCAGGTGCGCGCAAGGCGTGAGCACGGGCGCCACGGGCACGTCCAAGCACACGGGGCACTCCTGGCACTCGAGCCCTTCGTCTTGAATTTCCAAAATCCGGTTCTTGATGTACAGCTCTTCTCGGGGGGGATGCTGCGAACAACTACTCGTCTGCATCATGGCCGCGCTCAAGTCGGCATAGTACCCTTCCTTGGTCTGACCGTCGTGAGTTGCCGGTGGTGGCTTTGCCTTCTTCAGTGACAGGTCCGTGTCCTTGCCCACGACCAGAAACGGATGGTCGCATGCTTGTCGGAGGCGCAGAAGCAGCGCGAAAATGGCCACATAACTCGCCCCCGCGGTGCCGCTGGCCACGTATCCGTAGAAATCGCCCTGGCTTTTCGTGTATACGGCTTGGTAGAACTGGCGCTCCTCGGGGGAAAATGCCAAGCGGACAATATCAATGGACTTGGGCGGCAATTGCACAATCAGTTGGTTCGTCACGGGGTCTCGTGACGCCTTGGTCCGGCGCAGCAGAATCGGCTGCAAAATAGCCTGCCCACAATACCATCAACATGTGAAAGTTCTACTAGTAAGGGGGATACTGTAGTTTGATTGGTCGAAACACCGACGCAGACTATTGTCAAGTCGATTCGAAATTGGAGTGGAGTTTCAGACAATCGATCAACCAATCAAAACCCAGAACACTGTGGCCAATCAAATTCACTCTTCGACCAATTCAACATCGAATTAGTGTGTGACAGAAATTAGTGTGATACTGGACGAATCTTTACATACAAAAGTCAAAGAATCGATTGATATACATTTGGCAAAGAATCCATTTATGGGTCTATCTATACCTTCAAGCGCACGAGTGCGCAGTGTTCGCCTTTTTCATACGGCTGGGCCACTACTCGATTCCACCACTCGACTTTGTTCCACGGCTAACCAAACCCACCGTTTAGTGACATGATGACGACGCACGTCGTCGCAGTTTTGTGCACGTCATCGCAGATTTGGAGTTTTGGCATACGAAAGTACCTCATAGCGAAGAAACGTGAGCAGGGCCAACATGTCGTCGAGCGAGTTTTGAATCGGGGTGCCCGTCAAGCACCATCGATGCGTGGCCGTGATGGCGCTGCACGCTTTGAAGTATGTCGTGGTCTTGTTCTTGATTGAATGCGCTTCGTCGAGGATCAAGCGGGTCCATGACACGTTGTGGATGACGCTCTTGTGCTCGAACTCGCTGCTGACGACGCCGTACGTGGTCAGAACCACGTCGCAGACACACAAATCCTGGCTTTGGAGCTTTTTGTTTTCGTAGTACACGAGCACAGACAGCGACGGCGCCCGTGTTTCAAACTCGTGCTTCCATTGATGCAGCAAGCTCAGCGGGCACACGACCAACGTCTTGCCTTGGACAGAGTCGGGTTTGGTCTTGCCAGTATGATCGTCGTCATGGAACTTGGCCTTTAATGATCGACGGTCGGCCATGTAGACAGAAGTACGAGCCACCACAAGCGCGAGAATCATGATGGTTTTGCCTACATATATCCGTGTTAGGGCTCACCGATTTGGCCTCGATTTGGGGGCCTACCCATGCCCATATCATCGGCTAAGATGCCGCCCAGACAAGGACGAGGCGGAGGCGGAATTTGAAGTGACACGAGGCGTTCGAATGTGTTGATGTAGTACGGCGTCGGGAACTGGTTATGGCCATGGGTGCATTCTCGCTTATCCCACAGCTACCTCGGGCCAGAGTACCTGTTAACATGATGATGTGTTGATCGTAACTTCGTACCGGGTGAATCTCTGGCTCGTGTGCGCTGGCTTGCTTTGCATTCATTCCTAAAAGAAAGCATCTCTTTTTCCATCTAGTGTAGCATCTCTCGAACGTACGCAGCGCGAGGCCGATCGTTCTCCCGTCGCTGGATGTGTCCTCGTACAGTTCTCGGTGGAGCATCCACTGCAGCGCCTGGTCTTGATAAGACCGCAGCGTAATCCCGTGCAGTTTGGCATGCACTTGGGCAGACTCGTACCGCGATTCGACGGTGGCCGCAGTGGCGTACAGCGCGTCCACGTTCGCGTCGGCGCTGATCTTGTCGCTCGTGTCCCCCGGCAGCTTCATGGCCGACGTCGGCGTGACCACGTGCTTGTTGTGCAAGACGTCCATGAGCTGGAACAGGTGCTCTTTGACCGTCGCCGACGCCATGGTCTCCTGGAAATGGAGCGCATTCCACACCAATGGCGCGGCAAACACATGGACCTGCAGCTGGAACCGCGAGAAGACGGTCGTGTGCGCGGGGGCGTCCAGCACGTTCGCGCCGACCTTGATCATCTTCCAATTGATGAGGGGCTGCACCATGCTTTCCCACGCTTCGTCGATGCGACCCAGTACGATTCCTTTAAGACTCATGATACGCAGCATGGAACCTTCAACTTGAAGGTTGAGCCTACAGTATGTACCTACATCGTGAACAAGATGCAAAGAATCGAGAGCACATGTACTACCTACCGCGCGCCAGCTCGTAGCGCGCCGTCGTCGCGACGAGTGACGTGCGCTTCCACCGTGCACACACCAAGGTAGTAATCCGAGTAGTCCATCTGGTTGATCCAATACTGACTGTCGTTCTTCGTCGCCTTGGCTTCCGTTCGCGCCATGGTGTCATAGTACGACGCAATCGCAAAGCTCACACTCCCAGCGTTCTTCTTCAGCAGATGCTTCAGCTGCTCGTCGTCGACAGTTGCATCTCCCAAGCAGTCGCGCATTTGGCTCAATTTCTTGGCCAGCATTCGCTCGTCCTCTTGAAACGCAGCCACCGTTGGCTTCCACCCACCCTTTTTCTTCCCTTTTGCCGCCGTGGGCGTGACTCGTGGCCGCTTCTTCGCTGGCATGTCCTCGGCATGCGTCGTAGCTGGGCGGCTTGATCTGCATATCTCACAGCGCGGGGCCAGGGCCGTGTTCTCGTACGAACAGTTCACGCATCCCCAATCCATCGGCGGCGCGGGATAATCCTGAAAGCCAATCCAACGATTCTTGGCGCGTTTTTGAAGGAAATAGTCACTACTCTTGTGTTTTGTATGCTGGTTGCCTAAACATTATATTCCAGTTTCGTAAGCATATAAAACCACGAGGTATATTAATATTCCACTTCCAGGCGCATCCTCGCTTTTGATGTGGTCGATATGATGGAGCTGTGATCTCTTTGCATGACGATCGATGGCAATGGCCGAAAGGGCACACTACAGCACAAAGCACTACTAGCATGTCGTTGTGTTCGACACCTTGCTGCACAAACTCTGTCGAGAGGTCTCTCTGTCCAACCAGAGTCGGAGTCAGTCTCAGACCCGTGAGACTGACTCGTCGAATGCCTTGTGTGGTTCGTGGTGGGCTCACCCGACGACCTTGCAGCTGTGGTACCTTGCACTACCACGTTGTACATTGGATTGTCCACGACAACTCGGCCTGTCACGCCATGAAGCAGCTCGAGATGCTGCATCTTCCATGTCTATGTCCATATTTTGCGCTTGTCTTTGCGGCGATGTGAGACAGAAAGTCGCCTTTTCTGGTACACTCCGGAGTAGATATTTCGTTGGGTGTTTGGTGAAATCTTCGTTGCGATGTCACTTCAGAAAACACTGCCAACAACCACGAATGGGGCTCAGCAAACGAGCGATCAAGCGCGCGGTGCTGCGGGCGCAGACTGTGGAGCAAGAGATTAAAAAGCACAACGAACGAATCGCGGCAGAGGAAGCGCATATGTCCAGCAGCGGCAGCAGTGGCTACGACGACGATGTGGTTCCCGAAGTGGTCGTGGAAGAGAGGCTGCATCACATCAAGGAGGTGCTGGTTGAGCATGCAGCCCACGACCCCCATAAACTGCGGCACAAGATCGCCGAGGTCCTCCATCCCCATGTTGTCCGTCCCCCTGTGGATATCCCAGAGTTCTTTCAAGGCAAGAACGCATGCGTTGCCCTCGTCGCGGGCAAGTCAATTCCTGTCACGCACAACATGGTCACGAACCTCCGAAGGCGGAGGAGCCTACGGAAGCGGGACTTACCCAAGATTGGCGAAGACAAGGAATGCATCGTGCCTCAGCAGTCCGCCGCACCAACCAGCATCAACAACCAAACGCAAATATACCTCAGCACTGTCCAATAACATCATACGAGGTGATAAACTCATTGTGCATGCGTGCGAGGTGTCGTTGGTGTCGTAACACGCAGGTGTTGATGCACTTGTCGTCGCGGACACTCCCCACATTGGGCATCCCCTTCAACCTGGTCCAATGAAGAGTCTTCCTCGAGCCATTGCCATACTAGTACGTACCACCCCAGAAAAATGTTGTGGACGTCCTGTGCCAGCAAAGCAACCCAAGAATAATATTATTATCAAGGTCAACATTATCCGGAAGTTATTTTATTTTGGAAGTTCAATACAAAAACTACGCTATTAATAAAATGAGAAGTGGATTTCTATCCGGAAACCACCACCCTGGCAAAAAAACGACCCGGTAGCTTTGATGTGTGGAAGCAATCAACCACTCGCCAACTTGTAAGCCAGTAGATCAAGCGGTTTCTTCAACATGGCTGACGCCGCCGCCGCGAAACTCGAGGACGGTACGTCGACCGCTCCTCTCCTGTGGGTAATCCGTCTATATGGGAACTAACGTCATGGCTACTAGTCACCCTAACTGAAAAGGACACCAAGCGTGTGCAAACCCGTTTGACCAAGGCCAGCGGTCCATCGATTGTTGACAGCACCAAGATCGGTCTGCCGTTCACGGTAGAGCCGAACCCGGCGTTCTTGCAACGTCGGATTGCTGTCTATGACCGTGTCATGGCCAAGCAAAAGGAAGAAATTGCCGCGCAACCGCGCAAGCCCATCAAGATCACCCTCCCCGACGGCAACGTGAAGGAAGGCATCTCGTGGGAAACGACGCCTTTGGACATCGCCAAGGCGATCTCGCAAGGATTGGCGGAAACTGTGGTCGTGGCCAAGGTCAAGTATGTCGGCAAGCCCCACGATCCGTTCAGCGTCACCGCCGCCGACATTGACGGCAACGAATCCCAGGAGGCCGACACGTGCTGCTGCTCGGGCGGCAGCGACCAAGTGGAGGAATTGTGGGACGTGTTTCGTCCTCTGATTGGCGACTGCAAGTTGCAACTGCTCAAGTTCGAAGACCACGAGGGCAAGATGGTGTTTTGGCATTCGAGTGCGCACGTGTTGGGCGAAGGGCTCGAATTGCTCAAGGGCTGTCACTTGACCATCGGACCTCCCGTGGAAGGCGGCTTTTACTACGACTCGTACATGGGCGAGAAGTACGTCGTTGTTCATCCTCTTGATTCCAGTGCCTCATGTCGTTGATCTCGTCGTACACATAGCACGATCGCCGAAACCGAGTTGAAGGAAATCGAAAAGCGCGCCGCGCAAGTGGTCAAGGAAAAGCAACCGTTCGAGCGCATTGTCTTGACCAAGGACGAAGCGCTCGAACTGTTTGCCGACAACGTGTTCAAGACCCAAATCATCAGCACCAAGATCCCCGACGGCGGCAAGACCACCGCCTACCGGTGTGGTCCCTTGATCGACTTGTGTCGCGGTCCGCATGTGCCGCACACTGGCAAGATCAAGGCGCTCGCTGTCACCCGCACGTCGAGTACGTTGAACAACTTGCAATCTTATCTATTCTCCATTCATTATTTATTCTTGAACGATTCATCTATTCCACATTGAATTTCAGAGATAATTCATCTTATCTATTCTCCATTCATTATTTATTATTGTACGATTCATTTATTCCAAATTCAATCGAAACATTCATATTGAACATAGGCACGTACTGGTTGGGCAAAACCACCAACGACTCGCTCCAGCGTGTGTACGGCATCAGTTTCCCGGACGCCAAGCAACTCAAGGAGTGGAAGCATTTCCAGGAAGAAGCCGCCAAGCGCGACCATCGTCGGCTAGGCATCCAGGAGGAGCTGTTCTTTTTCCACCAGCTCAGCCCCGGCTGCTGCTTCTTCCTTCCCCATGGCGCCCGCGTCTACTTCAAGCTGCTCGAGTTCATCCGAGCCGAGTACCGCAAGCGCGGGTACAATGAAGTGATCACGCCCAACGTGTTCAACATGGATCTGTGGAAGACGAGCGGCCACGCCGCGCTGTACAAGGACTGCATGTTTGTGTTTGACGTCGAAGGCCAGGAGTTCGCCATGAAGCCCATGAACTGCCCGTCCCACTGCCTCATGTTCGACCACCGCATGCGCTCGTACCGCGAATTGCCCTGGCGCGTGGCCGACTGCGGCGTGCTGCATCGCAACGAACTGAGCGGCGCGCTCACGGGGCTCACCCGTGTCCGCCGTTTCCAGCAAGACGACGCGCACATTTTTTGCCGCGAAGACCAGGTATATGAGTAAATGAATCGATTATTTATATGGTGGATAATAGATAATATCTGGTGGTAGATCACGCAAGAAGTGCTCAACTTTTTGGAATTTATGAAGTTTGTGTACGACGTGTTTGGCCTCAAGTACAAACTGAAGCTGTCGACCAAGCCCGAGAAGGCGCTGGGGTCGCCCGAGTTGTGGGAAAAGGCCGAAGCGGTACAGATTGTTGGTATTAAGTGGTTGCTCTGACCCATGTGATGTGGTGTAGCAACTGGCCAGCGCCATGGACACGTTTGCCGGCAAGGGCAACTGGACTGTGGACCCCGGCGACGGCGCGTTCTACGGCCCCAAGATTGACTTCACCGTCACGGACGCGTTGAACCGCCAGCATCAATGTGCGACATGCCAGTTGGACTTTCAGCTACCGATTCGCTTTGACTTGAAGTACCGCAGCGACGGCAGCCATGCTGGCGAAGAAAACTTTGCGCGCCCTGTGATGATCCATCGCGCCATCTACGGGTCGCTCGAGCGTTTCATTGCCATGATCACGGTACATATCGATGTGGTTAGCACCGACGTGGCTCTAAGAAGCAATGGTTGGTTTGGTGGTGTAGGAACACTTTGCGGCCAAGTTTCCGTTTTGGTTGAGTCCCCGCCAAGTGCTGATTGTGAGCGTGGGCGCCGCCTTCAACGACTATGCCCACCAAGTGCGCGAAGAAATGTTCTCCCACGGGTTTGAAGTGGAAGTGGACGACTCGAACAAGACGCTCAACAAGAAGATCCGAGAGGGTCAGATGTCCCACTTCAACTTCATCTGCGTCGTGGGCGCCGACGAGCAGGAGAAGCATGCGGTGAACATCCGCACCCGCGACAACAAGGTGCACGGCACCAAGTCGGTCGCGGACACGATCGCGCTGTTCCGCCACTTGGCCGACAACAAGGTCAAGGACGAAGACCACCCCGATGTCGAGCAAAAGAAGTAAACCCTCGGAACTAATTCATGCAATTTGCACTTGGAATTAGATGAATTTTCATTTATCCATACCACGAAAGGTTGGAATAATAGATGAAGTCTGCGGTCGGACGTTCTTTTATACTCCAAGTATGAATGAATCATAAATAAGTCCCATGTTAGCCAATCAAATCAATGCATGAAAAATTAAGTTCCCACGTCAGCCAATCAAATCAATGATTCCATGAAGTCTTTCGAGAAATACGAGTCCAATTTCAGCCAATGAAATCGTGCTTTGTGTTTGTGATTTTATGATTGTCGACCACGTGGCAATCACTGCCATTCGACGAAAAATACGTTAATTTATGGTGAAAACGCTTGAATTGTTTGAAAGCGTGAAAAATCGAATGCAGTTCAACGTGGTCTTATTTTTCAACATGTCGAGCGCAAAGCAAGCTGCTCCAGCCGCGGCGGCGGCAGGTGTACTGGACCTCCTGGTGTGTATCGGTGGCATTTACACGTGCTACTTGTCCTACGGCATCTTCCAAGAGAAAATGTACGCGTCATAATGACCCATGGGAGTGTAGTGCTCACTACGACTTTGTAGCTTCAAGTATCGCGACGCCGACAGCCACAAGTTCACGTCGACGTTGTTCTTGCTCTTCATCCAATGCATCTTCAACTCCTTCGTAGCATACATTGGTACGACATCGCCACAACATCATCACGTTTGTGTGTTTGGATGTTGCTCATGGACAATGCCTCGTTTGCAGCGACATTCATTTGGGTCCCCAAGAACAAGAATGTCCCGCTCGGTCCGTTTGCGTTCTCAGCGTTTTCGTACTTGGGCGCCATGTTGTGCAGCAATGAAGCCCTCAAATACGTCAACTACCCCACCCAAGCCCTGGGCAAATCGTGCAAGATGATTCCGGTCATGTTGATGGGCGTGGTTCTTGGCCGCAAGAAGTACTCGTGGAAGGAGTACGTGTCGGTGATCTTGATCACGGCTGGCATTGTGATCTTCCAGCTGGGCAAGGATTCGTCCAAGGGCAGCGGCAAGCAGCAACAGACCGAGAACAGCGTGTACGGCCTCGGGCTGCTCTTCGTGAGTCTCTTTCTGGACGGCCTCACCGGATCAGGCCAGGAGCAAATGGTCGAGCAGCACAAGCCTTCCGTGCACCAGCAAATGCTCAACACAAACGTCTGGGCAGTCATTTACACTGGCATTGGGTGCGTTATACGTTATATTCGCCTTGTTTTTATATATTTTGCATTCTAATGAACACGTGCAATTAGCTGCGTGATCACGGGCCACGGCATCCATGGGCTCAACTTTTGCTTGGCCAACCCCGAGGTAGGTTGGGATGTCAGTGACGAAGTAAGTAAGTCAAGCTTATTGAACCGCGATGTGTGTAGATTTACCAGTCGCTGCTGTACTTTTCCATTTGCAGCGCATTGGGCCAGAACTTTATCTACTTCACCCTGCAGCGGTTCTCGGCCCTCACCTGCACAACCATCACCACCACGCGCAAGTTCTTCACGATCCTCGCGTCCGTCATGTACTTTGGCAACCCCCTCGCCGACCAGCAATGGGTCGGCGTCGGCGTCGTCTTCACCGGCATTGGCATTGAGTTGACCACCAAGTATGCCAAGTATGGCGCCGCCCAAGCCAAGAAGGCGGACGATAAAAAGACACGATAAATATTGTGCTTTCGAGGGAAATTTCGTGGTTTCTCGTTGGAATTTCAATCGATTTGATTGCCTCCTTCAGAAGAGCTCAAAATTATTAGCCAATCAAAACCCATTTCTCAATGAAATTTAACCAATCAGATCGATTGTGGATCGGTTTGGTCGGCGCGATTCGATTGCACCCCCTCCCCAAATTTGTATCAAATCGACAATACCACACCAATATTCATCGAATCTACTACTGTCCATACTATTAATAGTATTACGTACTCGGAATAGTATTTTAATACTATTTCGAGTACGTAATAGTAATACTAGAAGTACTATTAAAATAGTACTTCTAGTATTACTACACCAATTTTCGGCTTTTTCCCGGTATATTTTGTCCTGATTCACGCAATGTTCGCCTAACAAGCGATATATTTCGTCCAGACCCTACGTTGTGGCAGGATATTTCGACAACCAACATCCGAGGACATTTGAATATTGTGTGATTTCTCATTTACGTCAATGCTGTGAAACCATTGAAAGCGACGGCGCGACTACTGTTGAGGACGACTTGACTGCAAGGTCATTTAGAAAACGTCAACTTATCGAGCATTTCGAAGGGCGGCGATATCGAGGTGAAGTAGAAAGTTTGGTGTCTCGCAGTTCGTTTTACATATGATCGTAGACTTGCATGAACGCACGTTTGCATGTGTTGTGAAGAGTATGTTATGTATATAATATTCCTAGCACCACCAAACGATGATGCAAACGTGAGTTGCAAAACGATTCAACAGACATGGTTTATACAAACACTGCCACCATAGCTATCGCAGTGACACTCAGCGACGCCATGACGGCGCTCGACTTGACTGGCGCGGCGGTCGTAGTCGGCGCGGCAGCTGTCGTGGCCGCCTTGGTCGTGACAGTCTTGCTTGCATCTTTCTTGGCCGAAGTCTTCGCGGTCGACTTGGCAGCCGCCAACTTCTTGCCGAGTTCCAAGAACTCGTCGTACTTGAGGTCGAACGTAGCCGTGTGCACGGGGGTGCCGCTGCCGTCGAGGCTGTTAAAGTCGCACGCAGGCTTGACGGCCTTGATGTCGGTCACAATCTTCCCCCACCACTTCTTGCACGACTTGGCTTTCAATGCCTTGGCTAAAGCTTCGTCTGAGATGGACGTCGCATCCAGCGGGATGCCCGTTTCGGTCGAGCAAGCCTTGGCGCCGCTGTTGGACACCGCCAGGGTGAGGATGGTGCTCACGGACACGCCGCACTGCTCCAGCGTCACGGGGGTAGCAGCGCTACTCCCGGTGTCATTGCCTGCCTGTTTTTTCATCACCTGTTGGCTAACATGCAAGAATTCCTTGTACTTCATGCGGAATTTGTCCGTGTGGACGGTTCGGCCACTGCCGTCGAACTGGGGAAACTTGCACGCTGGGTCAATCGCGTTGATGTCAGTCACGATTCCGTCCCACCACGTGTTGCATGCCTTCGAGGCAGCAGCTTTGGTCACATCTTCGTCCGACGCGGTCGTTGCCGAGGTCGAAATGCCCGTCTCCTTGTGGCATTCAACTGAACCAGTGTTAGTGGCTGCCGCCGTGAGAACACCAGTCACAGCGGCACCACACTTTTCTAATGAAGTTGCCGACGCCGCCGTGATAAAGGCGGCTGCGAAGAAGGCTACGCTCTTCATGACGGCAATCGGATTGGGCAATGTACAATCCTGCCGCCGTCGTCCATCGTTTGTCGATAGTCCGCACGAAACGAGGTGATTCAATGCACGACGACACTGCGTACCATATTCTGGTTGTGAATATAGTTCCAATAGCCATAATTGGTTTTAAAATTACCACAAATTGTTTAATTATTTTAATTGCATCTCGTCGTCATTACAAATTATATTCATATTATATACGAGCCTTTGTATACGTGTCGATCGCTCCAACCTCTTACGAGCTGACAATGCTACGACAATACTGCAGCATGTAGTAGTACAGTAGTACTCACAGAGTAAATTTGCTACATGCGTACAGTAGTACTTTACGATGACGTTATAGCAAATGCTTGTCGTTGACTGTGAATTCATTTAAAAGTACTCCACTAACAGTGTGTACTACTGTAGCACTACTATTACAGTATTAAGGTATGTATTGTGCTCGGGCCTGACGTCAAAACAAGTGTTATTCGTCATAACTCCAGACTTGCACAAGGTGGTGGGCCAAGAAGAATTGTCTCCATCATGATTCGTCCGTCGAACAAAACCATGACATGAAGCATGTTGATTCACACGAGCGACTGCCCCTTATTGTTGCCGAATGTTTGCAGTCCAAGAACACATCATGGGTAAAAAGAAGTGACTAATGTGGGATTCGAACCCACGCCCTTTCCGCCTTAGACCGCTCGGCCAATACACACGAGTAACAATGCAAATCAGGTTGTTAGGGGCTGGTCTGCGAACATTCCCGTCCACTCGTTTTGAAGTATGGACGCAAATACGACTCCTGATTGGCTAAAACGTGAATTTTTCCGGATAACACAACCTCAAAAGCAGGGACACCAGGGATGATCCGTTCCTGCTTTTGCACGTTTTCGATAGAAATTAAGAAATAGTTTTGACATATTTTCAAAATCCTCGAAAATAGTTCGGATAACATCCCTGCTTTAACTGTAAACCGTACTTTGACGACCAGGGCCATCAAGCCATCAAAGCGAGTTCGAAGATGTCCAAACTTCACTTCTTCAGCTGTACTACAGAACAGTAGTATTAACTCCTTCAGTACTAGGGCAATTAATGACGTATCCAATCACTTAGCCCCAAATTGGAAAAGCACAGATGATTGGTGGATTACTGTAGCCTGGAAAATTGTCTACTATAATTTGTACTACAAGTAGTACAAATTAGGGCTTTTTCAGGATTCCAAAATGATGCCTCAATCAGGAATTATGGACCCATCTCCGAAAGACCAAAAAAGTTGAAAAGTAACGCATCGAATTCTCGGACACTTTTTGCGTTGTGTCATGCCTACTTTTTGACGCAACATATCTCTGGAAATCCTTGGAATTTCGTAAATCTGAAGGCATATGAGGAAATTATAATTCGAGCACTATTTTATAACTAAGTTAGTTCCTGTTTGATCATAAAACAAACAACTGAATACTAGTATGTCGTTCGTATAGGATTATAAGGAGCAGTCGTAAACGTCGGAATGAAAGTTTGTGATTTTCTATTTCTTGGACAGTGATTTTATCTTGATTTCTGTATTGTAGAATAAAAATATGCACTACTTATGTTTATTTGATTGCAGTCCGAGAAATTGATTCATTGTCAGTCCGAGAAGTCGATGCGCTACCTTACCGTATTGCAACAATTGGCATTACTATTAATACCGTACCGGTAGTAGTAGTAATCACTTGTTCGTCAGCTAAGTTATACTAGTAATAAACTTGCAAAACACCGGTGTCGTTTCGGAATTTTTTTCTATTTCCGTCCTTACTGTGGATTAGGCATTTTTTGTGTGGAATTCGGTGAATTGTGTGTATTTCGTTATTTAGTGTGAGGCAAAATAAGGTCCTCGGACACGTAACTTTTGTGTTAACGATAGAAGTAACGTTAGGAACGCTTTTGTGATGTTTACTGGTACAATCTCGAATGCGAATTTTCATTGTAACGTTCGAATCGATTCTCTAAACTACTTGCGTCCAAATATTTTCTTCTTCTTCGTACTGCTGGGGGGACTCAACTTTTTGCTGCCTTTCGTGTACACTTTGGCTTCTCCTTGCGGCACTTTGTACTCTGGGTGGGTGCCCTTGACATTAAACGTCCACTGCATTTCGTCTGTGAGCACGACCAGCTGCCCCGAGCACATTTTGCCGTATCCGGTGGGGGTAAACGCAATCGTAAACGACGTGCCTTCGGTCCCGTACGCGGCTAACAGTCCTTCGACAGGATATACCTACACCGCAACAACGAAAATGTCGTCATCAAAAAATTAGTACACGAGTTGGTGTACGGTAAAGGCCTGGGATGACCCCGGCGTAAACTCTGCTTGGAACGGCGCCGATTCGCGAAACTGATTCGTAAGCTTGAAGGACACACTGGACGTCTGATTCAGGGCTGATTCGATCGTGAGCACGTCGTCCACGACTGGATCGGACGCGTCCAAGTGGATGTCAAAGCGCCAGAGTCCACCCGATCGCTTCTTCACCACCAACGCGACCGTGAGTCGAATGGGCTTGAGAGGGTCGAATCGAACCTGGTCATCATGTGAATCGATTGTGTTAATCGATACATAGGACCGCGTACGAGGTACTCCAGTGGCGTCGTGACGGACGCGATGCTGTCCACGAGCGGCGTGACCGTCAGAGTGCGTTCGATCACACGGCTGTGGGGCTCGGGGATGTCCCACTCGACGGTAAAGCGCTCGTCCAGCGTCACCTTTTCCAGCGCGAGTAGGTCCAAGCTAAGCTTCTTCTCGCACGACTCCCGCGCCCGACACACGAACGAGTATGCCCGTGGGTTTGCTGGGGCTTGGGCGATTCCCTGTCGACATTGAATTCAGAAATCAAGTCCTAGGTCAACCTGTAGTGGGAAAACTCAGTTGTAACGTTACCCGAATAGGATACACCCATTCGAGCTCTTTGTCGCCTTTGATGATGATGTGGGCGCCTGCTTCCGACACGAAGTTTGGCAAAAACGAAATCGGAACTACCGTTTGATTTAAAGACATTTCAAAAGTTGGTTTGCAGGTATTGAGTGCGAGTACCTTGAAGAGTACCAAACCCTTCCAACGTCACTTTGGGTTTTTTCAGTAAAATGTCAAACACGGGCGGCAGCGCCGAGTGCGGACGGAGGCGCTGCCGACTCACCCCCGTGGGGCTGTGCCCCGACTGACTTCCGCTGGTTCCGGGTGGTCGTTCCCTATAGAAACATCAACAATTACGTGTATATGCCGTGCGTTTGCAGGTAGTACATGATCACTTTGCCGTCTTCGTGTTGGCTCAATTGCACCATCGTCACTTCCACGGTTAACGCGTCGGGAAATGGGTTTCGAAACGAAAAGAGAGAGCTCGCTGCTTCGCCCACCGTCGCATGCACCTACACCGCACACATATTTCGTCAACCGATATTTTGCAACATTCCATAGACTTGATTGTTTGGTGAATTTGTTATGCGTACGTACCAACGTGGTTTTCATCAAGCTCGGCGGTTTGCCCTTGCCCTGCACTTTGTACTCCCACGTTCCGACGTCTGGATTGAGAAACTGAATCTCGGCACACTCAAAATCGGACAAACTGCTCGGGATGTAGTCCAAGATGGCTGTGTATGTGCTCAGGGGCTTGACCACGATGTCTTCGTCGCGAATGCGAAAGTTCCTCGTGTTGCTCAGCATCACGTCTAACGGGATGGGGGTATCCATGGGGTTGGTGATTGTGATGGGCTGCGACACGACGTCCCCCACCGCGCACAGCATGTCTTGGAGCTGGATCGGCGGCGCCGGCGTAGCATGCAGGGTCAGCATGTACGAGAACTCGCCCACGTCTTCGTTGGTAAACCCGATGGACCCCGTCGCGTTGGTGCTGGGAAGTAGCGGCGAATACAGCAGCTGGTAGATGCCCGTTTGCTGCGCTTCCAGTGCAAACTGGGTCGGCCCAAACAGTCCGTTTCCCTTGAGTACAATGTCAAACACGACGGGGCGATCCAGGGGGTTCTCGAGACTGATTTCCATGCCCACCATGGACCGGACGGTGGTCGTCATCTCCAGAGTCGCCTCCGGTTCAGGCGGGGCCACCGTCGCCTCGATCGTGTACCAACAGTACTCATTCGTCCGGGTGTTGGTGAACGTGATGCTGCCAAAGTATGTGCCCCCGATGAGCGGGTTGAACGTGAGTTTGTACAGCGCCGTGACATTCGGCGCCGGTAGCACCAATTGCGACGGTCCCCCGACGTACGGCAAGTCCGACTCGACGGTGAACGTCGACGGGCCCGGGGGGTCGTACTTAAACGTGTGCACTTGAAACTCGTGGACTAGACTCTGCCGCGCTTGGCAGTGCAACACGACGTGCTGCATAGCCAGAGGCTCTTCGCCGATGCCGCTGAGGCCAAACTCAAAGTCCTGGCCCGTCTTTGGGTTCTGCAGCAACAGCGACCCCGTTTCTGCCACGAGCCATTGCGGTTTGAACGTCAGCGAGTAGTTGTTGGCTTTTTTCGGGGGGACAACTAACGTGGCTGCACCAGTAAACACCCCCGACGTACTACGAAACATACATATCGATGCGTGAAAAATATATTCAATCAAAAACAAAGCAGAGATACCCGGTCAACGTCGCACGCAAACTCCACGTGTCGTCGGTAGGATTGACGATTGGAATGTCTTGAACGATGGTTTGTCGAGCGGGCGCGGAAAACTCGAGCATGGTCTTGATGCCAACGTCCGTAACTTTGGCGTGGATCTCGTACACGCGGATATCGCAGCCGCAGGACGCCGTGGACCGCAGCAGCACTTTGCAGTTGTACAGTCCCGCGCCCCGGGGTTGGAAGTCCAGCATCAAACTGGTCGGGGACGACAGGCTGCCTCGAGGGGTGACAAGCTTGGCTTGGTTGGTCTTCTTGTCCCCGTCGTGATTGGCTGGGGTGGACGACGAGCCGGTTTTGAGCGTCACTTCCGAGTTTTGCAACACAAAGTATGGCGAGTTCACTTCAGCGTGAAACGTTGTGTGGTGGCAATCTTCGCATTTGCGCAACCCGTCGCGGACTTTGGCTTTGACCAGGCCCTACGACACATGGACACATGTGTTGTCGTAGTAGTAGTACTCGTCGGACTAGTACCTGAAACCTGTCGACAATGACCGCTAGTGCCTTGTTGAGGATTGGATTCCGCGCCGGCACGATCAATTCCTTGAGCATGTGGGGCTTGTTGTCGCTCGTCAGCTCGAGCGTCTCGAGCGTCGGTGGCAAGTGCGCCGTGCAGTGCACTTCATACATGAACTCGCCTACGCTTTCGTCTAGAAACAAGAGCTGGCACTTGTACACGCCGGGAGCGAGCGGTAGAAACTCGATTTTGACAGTCGTGCTGTCGTCTTTCCGAATCGGCACGACGTCCCCGACCACGTCCGGCAAGAAGAACGGCAGCTGACCGTCCATGCACGCGTTCTCGTCAGTGTCTTTGGGGTGTTTTTTATGCTGCAGAACTTGGGAACTTTCATGGGACAAAGAAGCAGGAGATGACGCTGGCTGCTGCAGCACGGTCAGCTTGTACACGGCGTTGACCGGGAATTGGTTGTCAATCACAATGTCCTCCACCTTTCGCTCGTACATGGCCGCGTCGACCTGGAATACGCGGATGGGCTTCCTCGAGTAAATATTCGATTCGAGGAGGAACACCATCGTGGCGGCACAGTTGGGTCCGTCGCGCAAGCTGCGAAACGTCAGGCGCGCCTGCACCGTCCGCGTAAACTTGGGCTTGAAGTCCACGAGAAAGCTCTGGCTTTTCTCCGGTTCCAAGGTCAGCGTGTGGCTGTAAATGCTAAACTCCTTCACCTGGCCCTCCAAGAACACGTCGTACACGATCGTCTTCTTGCTTGGGTTTTTCAACTCGATCGACTTCTGGACCGTTTGGCCTAGCACGCCCTTGAATTCGATCGTGGTTTTCGGAATAAACTGCGGGACGTTCTGATACAAGTGCAGCAACAGCAGCACCGTCGACGGCAAGCTCAAGTTGCACAATTGGTCGGCGGGGATGCCGTAGTCCATGCCAAGACACGACAACGCGTTGCGAAGGCACGTGGCGTTCTCTAAAAAGTGCTCGCTCGACGTCGGTTTGCGGTTAAACCCATACAACGGACCCCCTTCGATGGCCAACGTCGGAACGTGAGACATCAACACGTAGCAAAGCACGACGCCGTCCTTCAAATCGTGCTCCAAGTCAACGATCAAGCGCGGTTCCGCTACCGTCGCCATGCGTTTCGAATGATGGAGCAGCCACTGAATCAGCACCATCTCCGACTCCGAGTACACGTTGCTCTTTGTACAGTCACGCGTCTAACGAAGAATCCATTCAAATAGTGTCAATCAACCTACATCCCAGCACAAAATAGAGGTCGGAACTTACCATACTGGTGTCGTCCATGTTTGTCTTGGTGGCAGCAGCAGCAGCCATAATAATGCCCGGGAGTGCCACGTACGACTTAGTGGAAATGCGAAACAGCACAAAGCACTTGACGATTTGCAGAATCACTTTGGTCCAGGCCAAACAGGACACGCGATGCCACTCTTTTTCAAAGAACAGCCGGCGGTGGACTTGGTTCTTGTCGTCGTCTTCGCTCCACCGCACGTACTGCTCGTTGTCGAGCAGCTGCTCTGGCCGTACATCGTTCAAGAGTGCGCCGTAGGACTTTAAGAAACGAAGCAGCTCCACGTACTGCCCCACCATTTGCGTGCCCTGCTCCCGTTTGTTGGCCGACAACTGCTTAACCCGACCAGGTACCGACTTACCACACACGATTTCGAGCATCTCGTACACTGGTCGGCCTCCCGTTTGGACCTACAACCTATGACGGATGACTGGGAGGCATGGAGTTTCGTACCAAATCGTTAGGAAAGGCAGTCATGGGCGTCTTGAGGATGTTCATGTTGAGCCACTTCATGAGCAACACGAGCTCGTCGAGTTTTGGCTCGTGGACGTGGGGCATGTGCAGCAACTTGCCCGAGATTTCGACGACTTCTGCGGCCAATTCCGCACTAGGGGGGGTCGATTTATCCTTGGGGGTGACCACCGCCGCCGCCGTCTTCTTCTTGGCCTTCTTGAGTTGCTTGTCGTCGTCGATTTTGGTCTGGATCGGCGGCGGCGGCAGCGGCTTCTTGGACAGCGCCTTGATGTACGATTTCTCCAAAAAGTACACGGGGTACCGCTGGTCCGGGTCGGTGAAGAACCCAAACTCGTTGCGGTGGGCTTCGACGAAGCCAAAGTTGGTCAAGACACAGTTGTCCGTCGCCCCCGACAGCGGCACGTCGAACTGGCTGCCCTCGGCATCGAAAAACTCGAGCTTGGCGTTGAACGCAATGCTCTTGGTCGACATGAAACTGATGTCAATTTGCACTTTCGGGTTGGCAATGCCAATGGCCTTGCCGTCCGGAAATGTCACTGTGATCGGTACGCGCGACAAATCGATCGGTAGTCGGTAGCTCAGCTCCAAATTGTCGTACCTACACTGACCGTTAAGAGTGATTTTGAACCAATTGTAAAGTAGTACCCCGTGCTATAAATGAAGAACGTGGCCGTGGACGTGATGCCTAACGGCACGGTGGGCAGGTCCACGCGGGGCACGCTAAAGCTCAGGTGTGGGTGGATTCCTTTGCCGACCAGCGCGAGTGTCACATAAGGCACGTCGTCGAGCAGCACCGGCACTTCTGCAGCGTATTCGATGGCATCGGTGGGGAGGAAGCTGGCTCGGATCGTGCACTTGTCCCCAGAGGCCAACTCGCCCGCCTACGACGTCAGTCGTGAGTGACATGTAGGCGTATTAGACATATGTTTGTGGTGGATATGATATCGTACCGACGGCGCGATGTGAAACACGCTTTTCTTGGGCTTCAATTTGGTCAAGTCGATGCTCCATTTGACGGTTTGCGGGTCGTCATTGGTCAAGGTCAAACCCATCGAGTATGGAATCTTGCGCACACTGTCGCGCGTGATGACTCGTTTATCGAAGTCCAAAGTGGAGCTGGAAAACAACATTCGGGGTTTGAGGCCCGTGGCCTGCACCGTCCGGTGGAGGGCGTCCATGCGTGCCGGCACCCCTTCCAACTGGATCGGGAACGGAAACGAGTGGCTTATGATCCGGTCTGGTCGAAACAGCAGGTGAAACTTGAGCGTGGCGGATGGTGGCACGATGAGCTGCCACTTGGACGGGGGGTCGACGTCCGCCGGAATGAAAATCGCATGCACGTCGTCCTTCACTTCCGGGTTGAGGTGCACCGGCATGGCGAGCTGAAACTCTGGGGCGAAAGGGGAGAAGTCTAGCACCAGCTGCGCCGAAACTACCGACGGGTTGGTCACGGACAGCTCCCGCGTGACCAGCACGCCCAACGTGACCCCGCCAAAGTTGAACTCGTCATTCGACGTGTTGAACGATACATTGGGTACGACAATGTCTGCGCTAAGGGGCACTCGGATGGTGCGCCCGCCTCGAATCTTAATCTCCAGCACGACCCTAAACGAGATGGAAAACATTAGTGGAGTGGGCGTTTCGTGGTAGCACACATACCCTTCCAAGACAAGCGCGCGGAGAATGTCGAGCGTGATGCACAGCTCGGCCGTTTCCCCCGGCATGAGCTCCCCAACGACCGGCCGCACAGACAACCCTGGCGTGGGGGGATCGATTTCCGCGTAGTAGACAGTCGCAGACGCAATGTTCTGGTTGGAAATCAACACCCTTTTCTCCTTGGGGATGCCCGCGGCGATCGTGCCAAACTCGACTCGTTTCTCACGCACGACGCATTTGGGTTCTACCACGTGCCCCACGCAGTGCAATTGCGCCGGTTTGCCTACGAAAGGATTTGCTTTTTAAGGCCAAAAACCGCGACGACTCGTTTGTTTGTACCGCCGTCGACGGACACGACGAGCGTGGCCTGGTTGGATACGTTGAAACGAGGGTGAAAGGCTACGAGCACCGGACAGCTGCCACCGGGGGCGATGGTCCCCTGCTTGGGGCTCGCTTCGAACGCACAGTCTACAGGGGGATGCTGCGGTTCCGGCGCCCAGCTGAACTTGGCTTCGGAGTTGCCGGGGTTTTTCACGACCAGTTGCTGAGCAACGTTGGGGCTCAAGTCGTTGGCGTCAAAGGCAAACTCGAGCACTGGCGTCGACAGTTCGACTCGGATTGGCACGACTTCGGCCGTCACGAGCAGTTTGAACGAGTGCTGGCCGTTGATGGTGTAGTTGACGTACTTTTGGAACACTTGTTCGATGCGGGAAAAAAAGGTAAAGTCAAAGCCGGCGGTCGCACCCGTGGGCACGATCTGCGACAGCGGCGTCGTTTCTTGGAGCTCGTCGTGGTCGTTCGCCAGGTGCACGTGCACGGAAATGTTGTGGGGCAAGTCATTGGTCACGCTAAACGACTTTTTCGACACGGAATGCACACACACTTTTCCAAAATTGATTGTCTTGGGGCCTACATATATCGAGATAACGTCATCACATGCATTCGACTCCTTGTCTTTGCACGAACCGGCGACGATTTGCTTGAGCTGCTCGGACGTGAGGGTCGTGGCGCAGTCCTTGACTTCGGCTTGGGTCACGGGAAGCGGTTTGAACTTTTTCTTGATGATTTTGTTGTCGTCGAACGGCGACGACGACGACCCGCGTCGGTTGCCCAGCGCACTTTGCATCCACAGCGGGTCATTGGCCACGGGCATTTTGCAGTCGGGGCCTTCGAGCCCCCCCTGGGGCGTCATGCCGAGATCCACGGGATTTGACGGCACCTGATTGGACTTTTCTTGCTTGACCAGCCGATCGTGCCGATACTGCCGAAGGATCGAGTTGTATCCGTCGCGGTGATGCGTACGGTCGGCCAGTTCGTTGACGCAGTACGTCAAATGCGTGTTGTTGGTTCCTTGAAACTCGTACTCGTCCACGGCCGCCGTCCCTACCAAAAGTAGAAAATGACCCCCGGAGTATTCTAGACACCCGTGGTGGGCGGGTGTGTATACCATCTCGAGCGGCGATTTCAAACGGCGGCATGCGGTGAAACGTTGGCTTGGGTTTTATCTGTTGGGTCTTGATGTCATCGACCGTCATAAAGTTAAACTTGGGGCGAAAGTCGCTGGGGAGTGTGTCGATGCCCCCAACCAGTTGCTTCTTGTCGCCGACGCTAGTGGCCGTTCCCTTGACGTGAATGGGAATGACGACGCTTCCGCCTTGAATGTCCAGGTGGAATGTCGTCTAGCCAACGAACGTCCAATGAGGACCATGACATTTGCAGGCATACTCAATACCTGAAACCGCCCCAATTGACTCGGGACGAAGCTGACCACGAGGTTCTGCGACTGGAGGACGTCCAATCGGCCCTTGGAAGGATGCGCGGCGAAGTGCGCGAGTTTGTTGAGTTTGAACGTCACTGGCAACGTGGCTTCGTTTTTCACGTTCAGCATCATGTCGACCCTCTTGCCAGACGCGCACTCCCCAAAGTCAAAACTGTCCGGCGTAATCACAACGTGGGGGGCCACGGCCTGATGGAAACCTGTCACGATATGAGACAGACCGATGTACGAACCGTTCCGGATATTTCAATCGCGAGATTTTGGTTGATTTCCGAGCACTCGATGGATGCGAACGCTTTCAAGAGGGTGTGTCCGTCGCCGCCATTATTGCTTGCCACAGGCACTTTGGCGCTCGTGTACCCCTGACGTTGTCCCTTGGATTTGGTCGATAACGACCCATTGTTGGGTTTGAACACAAACGTCAACAGTGCCGACGCATACGGCGGGATCATGCCTTCACTCGGAAGCACCGTGAGTTCCTTTTTCTTCTCATCTATTTCGCCGTCGTCTTCGGGGTTCGACCTACCAATAAAACACGGCCAAACGTGATGACTGAAGACTCCATCAAGAAGCGGCACGACGTACAGGTCATCACCGACGCGGAACGGCCGCCCCGAGAACGAAATGCCGGTCTGGTAACCCACGGGATGCGGCCCGTTGTTGCGCAAAACCGTCTCCAGCTTGCGCATTTCTCCGATGTACAGCGACCCAAACGATAAGACCCGCACCGGATCGGGGGACAGCCCTTCGGCGGTCGGGAACACCAGCTCGATGTTGTGTTCCACCACGACGGCGCTGATGTCAAGGAGGTATTGTTTGTCGTTGCCGGCGTGGATGGTGGCGATCGCTCGATAGGTGCCCATTTCGCGCCCGTTGAATTCGACTTTCAACCGCGTTTCTGAGTACGGGGGGATCACGCCCTCTTTGGGGGACACGACAAGGGTTGACTGGCCCGTTTCCAATTCCACCCGGAACGAGCACTCTTTCGCCCCTGAGTTTCGCACGTTGACGTACTTGGCCGTCCGGTTCGATAGCACCACCATGCCAAGGTCGACCAGCGACTCGAATTCCAACTGTGGGGCCGGGCGCTTGGCCACCTAGTCGTGATCCCATGAGAATGTAAGAAAATGACATGTGAATGTACCAGGGGGATCTCGATGGGGGCGCTGTTTTCGGCCAGGACGTGGATCTTGTCGTGGAGGTCGATGGGAACGTGATCGTCCATTTCCATGAGAAAGGCCACGTCGAACTTGATCGACAGACCAGGAGATATGGAGCGCGTGGGGTTCGCGACAAGGCCCAGGTCTTGGTTGTGCAGAAGCAAGCGGAAGTACTTGGACGTGGGCGTCGTCAATCGAAATCGAACGACGTGGCGACTTGTGTTTTGAATCGACAGCGACACCAGGTAGCACGTCATGGCTTCAATGTCCACGAACTCCACTGTGGCAGGGAACGCTTGAACCAATGTCGGCCGCAGTGGTGCGGTCGTAGGCCGCTTCGACGACATCGCTTCTCGTCGTGTTGAAAGTGCGGGCGGCGTCGCCGGCAATGTTAACGCGCGTGACGGTTCACCAAGTTACCAAAGGTCATTGTTATCCGTACCATTCGGATAATTCAAATACTGTATGCAATGGATAGCTTGAGCGATCGTCGCACCTCCATTTGTGGCCCTTTGCTCGTCAAACCCTGCTTGTACATAGTACGACTATAGGGCTCCGCTTAGCCAGAGTCTGCTCGTCCTGGGTACCCTCCCTGTGCTCGTAGTGTCGTGTTATAGGTTGCGTGAGAAGTTTTGTATGCGGACAACCGGATACCCAATCACGTTGGAGGAGGCGGTGTGCCCATTAACCGGATGTTTATCCGGACCTTTACCGTCATGTTGAAAGGCCATCACACGTCATTCGACATTGACAGGACCAGAGAAACATGGGTAAGATCATCGATCGGTTGACGGAGCTGGAGAAGACAGGGTCGCCCAGCGTGAGCTTTGAGTTCTTCCCTGCGAAGACGGAGGATGGTGTGTTCAACCTGCTGAATCGCGTTGAAGAAATGGGCTTCCAGTTGCAGCCAACGTTCGTTACGCTCACGTGGCGCAGTGCGTTCAAGGACGAGAAGCTATGGCTCAAGATCGGGTCGCACATCCAAAACGAGTTCAAAATCGACGTGCTCATGCATTTGACGTGCCATTTGCCTCGCGAACAACTGCGAGAAATCCTCAAGAACGTCCGCGCCGCGGGAATCCGCAATATCTTGGCCTTGCGTGGCGACCCGCCCATCGGGTCTGAGCGATGGAAGGCCATCCCTGGGGGTTTCCAAAACGCCGTAGAGCTCATTCGGTTCATCCGTGAGGAACACGGCGACTGGTTCTGCATTGCTGCCGCCGGGTACGCCGAAGTCCACACGGAAGCGTGGAACAACCCAAACTTGCCGCCGTCGGATCAAGTCCGTCGCGTGGACATGCTTCGATTGAAGGAAAAGCAAGACGCTGGGGCCGACTTTATCATCACCCAGTTCTTCTTTGACGTGGACAAGTTGCTCCAATGGATTCGCGATTGCCGTCAAGTTGGCATTACAATTCCAATCTTGCCTGGGTACTACTACTACTACTAGTACTACTACTAGTCTTCTCTTTGCAGTAACCACCCTTACGTCGTATGTGGTGTAGGTACCTGCCCATCCAAACGTACAATTCGTTTCTGAAATTCACCAACTGGTGCAAAACCAGCGTGCCGCCCCAAGTCGAAGACGCCCTCGTAACCATCAAGAACGACGACTCGGCCGTCAAGAAGTACGGCATCCAGTTGGCCGTGGACACGTGTCGTAAGCTGCTGGCCAACAACTTGTCGCTCCATTTCTACACCATGTACGCGCCATTCTCGGGGTCCCAAAGAATCATTGCATGTCAACATTAACCAAACTAGGAACTTGGCCACGACGGTGCGCACGGTGCTGGAAGGGCTGCATTTGATCGAGCGCGAGCGCGGGTTGCCGTGGGGAGCTCCCATCACGCGCAGCAAGGACGGCACACTGGAAAAGAGCATCGAACAGGTTTGACCCGTCATCCGTGTATCGCGCTTGTCTGATTGGTTGAAAATGAACAGGTGCGCCCCATCTTTTGGTCCAATCGCGCGTCGAGTTATATTGCGCGAACGTCGGAATGGGACGACTTTCCCAATGGACGGTGGGGCGACCGCACAAGTCCCGCGTACGGCGAATTGTCCGAGTACTACTTGGCGTACAAGCGCCCCAAAGTCGCGCGCGACGCCGTACGTCTGATTCCGATACCCACACATTCTGATTCGGATACATATCTGATTCGGATATATATATATCTGATTCGGTGTTTGCTGATAATGATATGTGGGTAGTTGTGGGGACGTCCGCAGACAGAGCAGGACGTGTGGAACGTGTTTGTCAAGTTCATCGAAGGCAGCGTCAAGCAGGTACTCCTTCTATTGTTTGTGACCGCAAGACTCATGGATGTATATATATGTGTGGGTACTAGCTGCCGTGGTGTGAGCAAGGGCTGTCTGGCGAAAGCACCATCATCCGTGAAAACCTTCGCTGGATCAACTCGATGGGGTTCTTGACCATCAACAGCCAGCCCCGCATCAACGGCGCGCCGTCCGAAGACCCGAGCGTCGGATGGGGCGGCAAGGACGGCTTTGTGTTCCAGAAGGCATACGTCGAGTTCTTTGTGCCTCCGCACCTGATGCAGCGCTTGGTGGTACGGTCATATTTGTGTGAATATGTGACGACGTTTTGGTTTTTGCTGGGCGGGTGGCATTTAGGTGGCGCTCGCAGATTACCCCAACTTGTCGTACCATGCATTCAGTGCCAACGGTATGGTTGTTCGTGTGCATCTTGTTATTGTATGTATGGCTACTGCTGATAAATGGCGAAATAGGAACGGAATACACCAACTCACCAGGGCCGAGTGTGACTGCTGTGACGTGGGGGGTGTTCCCTGGCAAAGAGATCATCCAAGTACGAAGGTTCATATTGCGTTGATGACGTTATATTCGCATGTATGTATGTATAGCCAACGGTGGTGGACACGGCCAGTTTCGCAGCGTGGAAGGACGAAGCGTTCGAGTTGTGGTTGAGTCAGGTTTGTGAATCAATAATAATACTGGAAAATATGGGATTATTCCATCATATCAACCAATTTACAACGGTTGTTTTAGTGGGCGTCGGCGTACGAGACGGACTCGCCATCGCACCAGTTGATCAAGGTAGGCAGTCACATATATAATCATCGCAAACCGCCTACCTACCTATATACAGTCTTATAAACTACTGGAACTGTATGATTGTGTAGCGCATTTTCGACAGCTACGTCCTCGTGAACGTTGTGGACAACGATTACACCAACGGTACTGTGTTGTTGTTATAACAGTTAGCTTGTCCTGATGGACTTCAACAATGTAGAGGACAGCGATATCTTTAAGATTTTTGCCCGCGTGATCACGGAAAGCATGACCAAGGACGACTTGCGTCAACGCGTGCTGGAACTCGAAGGCAAAAACGAAAAGCTCCACGAAACGGTGGCCAAATTGAAAATCATCCAGGTATATATATATATATACTGATGTAACGAATATGTCGGAGAATTGTGATTGAATTGTATGTACAGGCCGAAGCGAACCGTGAATTGAAAGACTTGCACGGCGACCTGTCGACTTCCCGTGAAGAAAACAGCCGACTCAAGGCGCAAGTGCGCGAACTCCGCTCCCGTTTGGCCATGGCCGAGCTCTAATCATCATGCTCACCAAGTCCCCTCGTCCTAGACCGTGCTCTACTTTGACCGCGCTCTTTCGATCCTGTTCGGACACTTAACATGACAAAATTTTGGAAATCGAAGTATTGGCTGCCGTCGTACTTGTTGTCACCTAGAATAGTTCCAAGTAGTTTTCAAAAATCGCATGACCTGAATCGAGAAGCTCCTAACTGTACCGGTAGTTGTGCCTAACTCGCCTTGCTCGCGTTTTCTTCCGTCTGATCATGTCCGACTACTGGACAAGTCATTAACATGTATTCGCCATCCAAAATGACGCGATTGATATCCGTGGTGGTCATGTTCACAATTGATATTTCGAGTTGGCTTCTTTTTTATACGGTTGAGAACGTCAATATTATCTACTTCGAAGTATACTGTAGTGAGTTGGGTAAGAAATCAAGGAAAGTAGTACAGATAACGACGGACTAATTGGCCCCGTGGTACTAAAATTTCGTATTGATTTAAGTATCTACTTTTGAAGTAGTTTGTCCCAATACAAATTTGAAGTGCTATTTCGAAGTACCACAGGGCCACTTATTCCGTCGTTATCCGTAAAACTGTCTTAATAATTGGACACCACTTTTTCACTTGCTAAATACGTCTAACTTTACTGTAACGTTAGTAACTTACTTGGAACAGCGCGTTGGAGATGCAATGTCATTTTACCAGCATCGATTTTTTCTACATGCTGGTGGAATGTCCATCGTAACGTTAATGTTATGTAAATCACTAAACGAACCTCGCAATCTGATTGGTCCATCGAAACGTCGCGGCGGTTTACGATATTCGAAAATAAACGTGCAAAGTGCAGTTTGGAAATATACCCAAAACTGGGAGTGTTGCGATGGACGAGCCGCCACCGTTGTGTTCTCTTTCGATGCTAGAGGACGGGGGTAACCAGCATGTCGAGGGCGAACAGACTGTCATGGACGAGATGCTGGAAGTCGCCACCCGTGCCAAAGCGATGAAACAGGCTGCGAGAGTTGCCGACGAACGGAAACGAAGTCAAACATTTGGGGGTGGGCTCAAGAAGGGGTTCTTTAGTAATCCCAAACCAGCAAAGAAGAAATCTGTATCCACTGCCGTGGCCATATCTAGTAGTCCGGACATCCCAACCCTCCGTCGCAACCCCGCCAAGGAATCGTCACTCCATCTGCCCGAAGTGCACGACGCGATGAATCAAATGCAAAACCTCAAGCCCGAAGGTATTCGACCTCGCCAAGCCATATACATCTATGATACATATATATATTTATATGAATACATATATGATATATAAAAATCCATACCATATATGATAAAAATATTTATATTTATTACTAGAAGTCGGGAATAATGTGGTGTTTGTTGTCATGGGTAGATTGGATGACCCCTGCTTTCTTCGAAAAGCTCGGTCGGAACCCCAAATTGTGCCAAGGTATGCATGCATGCAATTGTTCGGTGGCTTACAGAAACTGTTAACTCATTCGTGCATTCATTCCAGCCATGAAAAACCCTCGCTTTACGGCCGCCATCCAAGAAATGTCGACCAATCCCACCGCGGCCATCCTCAAGTACCAAGTACGCACTTGGAATGAATGCGACAAACCAATAAGTTGACCAGTCGGTTAGAACGATCCCGACTTCGGCGTGATGTTTAAAGACTTTCTCCAGTTCATGGGCCACCATTTCGAAGAGGTTTGTGTTTTTTTGCGAGGGTTGGAAACCTTCAACTTGTTTGTGTGTTTAGCTCGGGAAAATCGAGGAGAAAACGGCCATACCCACAAGGGACGACATTCAGCGGCAAGCGCTGACTTCGATGAGCAGATCGCCAGAAGAAGATGCAGTTGTTCAGCGCATTCTCGCAGACCCTGAGCTGCAGGGTATTCTAGGCGACCCGGACATGCAAAAGGTCCTGCGAGCGTGTCAAGTGCCGGGCGTGCTGTCAAAATACATGAACGACAAAGTGTTCGGACCCAAGATTCAAAAGCTCGCCCGGGCTGGGCTTGTGCAATTGCATCCGTAACTTCGACATGAAGGCAAAACAAACAAGTGATGTAATTTCGCAGCAACGTTACAGCATTGCACTAGGGTGCGTGTGGTAACATTTCCCATTTTCTGGCAAAATGGGATAACCAAACATGCTATTTTCAAAATGGAGGCTCACGGAGTCATAAATCCCACGTGGAATTGTTGGATTTGGGTTCAAACTCGTCAAGCAAGACATATATTTTAAAATGTATCAGCGTTATTGCATTTATTGACAATTTGGCTCCAAAATGCAAAATGGCGGTTGGGCCAGAACATTGTAAAATATTCATTCAGGTTGCCCTTTTTATTTCGACTGACTGCACACAATACCCATCCGGACCCACGACGCCATTGCCCCCAGCAATGCGAAAGCACTTTGTGGACGGAAACACTGCAAAACAGTTGGACGCGAGTGAAAATGTCAAACTGCATGCACACACGAGTAGCACCACGGCGCCGGCGACGCGACTGTGGCCGCCCCGACGCTTCAGCGCTTGCAGTTGGGGTTTCTGGGACGGAAGAAGAACCAGGGGGACGAGGGCCACTAGTTTGCAGCCATACGATATCGCATACACGGTCGTGACGTCCCATCGAACGGCGTTGGAATCGGTCTTAATGTCGTTTTGGCTGACTTTAAAGAACGAGTCCACGTAATTGTACACGGCGGCCGACAACGGGTAGGTCAAATTCGCCAACGACGTCAGCAGGCCATACGTGGCGCCTTCTGTGCCCACGTCGGCCATTTCCACGGCACAGAACGACCCGATGATCATGATCATTCCGTTCGGAATCTGCTCGAACATGGTCACCCCAGCGAAGAACCACTGATTTCGAACCACATTCCACGTCGTGCACAACATGACGGTGGCGTCCAGCACGAGAATGGACAAGTTGGCCACCACAAGACTCCACCGCCAGTTCCAGTGCAGCCCGTACCTGCCCACGATCGCCAGTGCGGAGCAAAAGAGCGCAGTACCGACCATCGTGGACACGGCGTCTGTGAGCGGCGTCACATGGGCCCACGTGGACTTGATCGGGTTGAGCGGCGTGGCCGTGATGGTGCGGAAGAAGCCATTGACGAACTTGAAAATGCACACTTGCCACATGGCCTGTCGTTGAAGTAGCGCCCAGAACCCTTGCCACCACGACGCGACGGTAATAATGGTCGATGGGGATGCAGTTGTCGGGTCCTCTTGCACAACAACCACCACGGCCACACATGCCAGCAGACACGGCACCAAGCAAAGGGCATAGGGAACGTTTGGAGACAGCGAAAACGAAAACGTACCATTGTACTGGATGCCGTTGAGCCCAAATGCAGTGACTGCCAATGCAGGAAGGCCACAGAGGTACCGAGTGGTGAACGCCGCGGTTTGCACGCGACCACGCGTGGCCAGCGGTTCTCGCTGAGCGTACTTGATGATCATGGCGTCAGAAGCGCATTCGGCAATGACATATCCGACGGAGACAAGCATTGACAGAATAATGAACAGCGAGCCTTGGTCTGGCGCGTGGAGATTGAAGTGCGAACGTAGCTCTGCCAAGGGCACGTTGGCCAGTGGCGTACCGCAGTACGAGCTAAGCTTGCGATTGCAATATGGAGCTCCGATCGGTAACGATGCCATGATCGCCAAGCAGACAAAGCACACCGACCAACCGAGAACCATCCACGACTTGCGACGGTAGCCAAATATGGGAACGCAATCGGACAACATGCCAAACACGACTTTAAAGGACCAACCCATCGACACCAGCACGCCATACGACGCTGTTTGATACCCTTCCATTTGCAAGTACACGTTGAAAATTGGGTAATTGAGTGCCGGCAGGAGGGTGAAGACGAACCCTACTGCACCGAACTGGGCAAGCAGACCCAGAATCTCAGGCGAGTTAAGAGGCTGAGCACCACCAGGGACAAGAGCATCGCCTTCAATTGATGTCTTGTGAATCTCTTGGATCAACGGCAAGCTCTCCTCGTAAACGTGCTGGGGATCCATCGAAAAGTTTCAACCATTATCAGGAACGAACCTACCATGGTACTAATAGGATTTGATTGGACAAAACTGCTTAACAGTACATTCACCCTCATTAAAACAGTACCACCACTGTTGTTTACTCAGAAAACACAGCAATTTGTTACTACTCCGGAGTATACTAACTAACCTTACTGTTTTGATTAATACTTCGAAGTACGTATTACATACTATAAGTACATCGAGATCGTGTTTGTGTCGTGTGACCGCAACCAGGAACAATTCGACGAGTACTGGGGCGACTACGTGACGTTTCCAGCCCTTCCATACGAAACCCGCTCAACCAAAACCGACTTGGGCAAGAGATTTGGCATCAAGTTCATCCCCACACTCATATTTCTCGATGCCGAGACCAAGGAAATCATTACACGGTCCGGCGTCGATATCGTCGAAGGCGGTGTCGACGGACAGGATTATGTTGCCAGTGCTCGTGACGTTCTTGGCTTGGAGGCTGCTGTACCTTGAACAAAGCTAATTAATATGTGTTGCCCTGTCACTTTGCGTAGATTCGTCAAAATAACGCTCCAACAATGTATTGTATTAGCTAGTTCAAAAGACTATATCGTCCTCCCATTGGTATAAATTGAGTTATTCATTGACAGGTAAAAGTCCAATTTATGAACACTTTTGCTGAGACGTTGCCGTGGAACGTAACATCAGAGAGGGAACGATATCCACGATGGGTTGGGATGGCCTCGGTCGCAGTTCAAGTCGTGAGCACGACAGCAGCGTCGGAGGAGAAGTAGAGAGGGCTGTGTGCAGCCACGAGCACCTCAGCGAGGACCACCACAAGTTCCAGGTCCACGCGAGAGAGAGAGAACTCGTCATCGGTCGCAGTGACGGTGGGTTCGAAGGTGTCCGAGTGCTGCAGAGCTCGGAAGAGCTCCACCACGGAGTCCCGGGTCATTTTGTGCCCGAACGACTTGGTATAAAGCTGGTCTAAGGACGCTGATCCTCCCCAGGTAGTGCGCAGCCATCGATGCAGTAGTCGCTGCCGAATCAACAGCTCGAAGGTAGGACTGTCGTCGGCAAAGAGGCGGTGCAGGTGGATCCCAAAGTCCTCTGGGTGCCGTCCCATGAAGATACAGATTGAGTCCAGACGACCTGAGTTCACGAGCGTAGCCAGGCCATGGAGCCCGGCGGGAATATCCATAAAAAATCCATCGAGAGCGTGGGGGAGGGTTAGCTGGAAGGTCATGAAGGTGGTACTCTTGACCTTCCCGCTGGTGGTGGTAATACGCAGCTTCAACATCGCACCTTGAAGTTGTCTGAGAGCAGTCTCGCTGGCAATGCCCCATCGCAACATGTGGTTTTGGGGATCCTTCTCACACTTGATGACGTCGACGAGCGTGTCACCCTTGACCAACGACTGGTTGTCGTGCAGCAGCGACGCCATGGCGGCATATATCCTCGTTGATGGCCTTGGTGTGGTTGCCCGTGGCCATGTGCAGCCATCCGACGACCTCGCGCTTGTCGTGCTTCTGGATGGGTAAGGTGTCGTGGAAGGACAGAGTGCCTGCAGAGTGCTTGGCAAGGAGCGGCTTCAGATCGGCCATGGATGGACGATACGTACCCACATCCTTCGTCTGTGACGCCTTGGTCGCCTCGACACGCTTGGCAGCGAAGGCGGTCCATGGATCGGTCGACGGCGGCGAGGTGGCAGTCGTAGCCGAAGCTGCAGAGCCATTGGAGCGAGCGTGGATTGACGTTTTCAGACGATCCAGCGTCACCAACACGAGCAGGTAACGTGGCTTGGGACGATATATCACTTCGCGCATCACCAGGGCTGACGGTGTTGCTGGTGGATAGGCCCAAATGGCCAGAAGCGGTTGCAGCGCTCGCGGTGGTGGTTCCAGACAGGCTAGCCAAGGCCGGGTGGTGGCTCGACGTCGTCAAAGAACCCAATTTGCACCCGTTGCGCCGTTTGAGTGCCGTTTGAGGTGTCGTGGCACATCGACAGGTACCATGGGACCCGGGGAGGTGGCATACTCACGCACCATAGGCGGCGAAGCAGGATCGGTGGAGGCGGCGTCGCGCGTCGCCGAAAACGAGTTCAAGCCAAAATCGCGCATTTCGGCCACCGGAGAGGTCAAATCGTGAATTTGGACCTCCATGTCGTCGGAATTCGTCTCACACGTCCAAGTGGTAGGTGGTGAGAGTGCATCCATGGCCTGCACCATAGAATTGGTGTCGGCGAGAAAGGGTGCGTTAGCTTTGGCTCGGGTAGAAACCATAGTTAATCCAAGTGACAACGGTAGTATTGTTTACAAGGCAAATAAGGAACTGCCCATCCGAGCCCCACGGTGGGCGCTTCTTTTTCGCCTCTTTTGCGGCTATCCGGTTACGAGGAAGCATCCGGAATATTTGCAGCAGATATTGTGTACTATATCAAACAAGGAGGTGCGCGGGTCAACTCGTTGTGGATCGTTTTTGCCCCAATCTATTCAACGTACACCGTTGACCGTGATTGGGCTATTTCCAACAACTTAATAAACCCGACCTAGCCGGAATCAGAATCG